GTACCTTTTCCCTTATTTCTCATGGCAGCGTAGCCTCTGTAAAGTGTCAGGATCTGACTGCACCAGCACAAATGCTCTCACTGTCTGAGCTAGCTTCACAGCACCAAAACAGGGGTGCACACATTCAGCCTCAATCACAGAGCACTGAACAGCCAGCAAACACACTCAGCTTTTCTAATCTGACCAGTGCTACTCCTACATGCCTGGGTGGAGCAGTCTCACTGTCGCAGCTAGCCTTGCAGCATCAAACCAACAGCTCCTTAGTTTCTCCTGAACCCTTCAGCACTGAATCTTCAACAAATGCACTCAAACAACCACCTGGCATCTGTGAACTGCTGTCTTTGTCACATTTGGCTTCTGAGCACAAAGGCAAAACCTCAACCACCTCAAATGGGTCACAGTACTCCCTCACCTCGCTCCTTTCACCAGCAAAACCAGAGAGGGCGAGTGTATTGGCAGAAAGTACTGTAGAGGGCGGCGCCATGCATAAGCTTGATTGCAAATCATACCACCAAAACTCCAGGCCACCAAAGCTGGGCCAGGCTATTGATTTGTGTGCACTGATGGCCCAGTTACAAGGAGGGGGCCCTCATCACTTTGACAAGGACCTCCCTTCACCATCCTCTACAACTTCAGCTGCCTTGGATTCCTCTGTTTTTGCAAGACCTTCGGTATTTGCGATTACATTGTTCATTCAGAGCAACAGACAACCTAAGAGAATGAGGAATTTATTGAAAGGAAAAATAAAAGGTGATAAGACGGGAAGTGGTTACCGGGCCTTCCTCTCTGAATTGCAGGAGAAATCCAGAGAGCACTACTCTACCCCACTCTCACCAATTGTACCGTTCTGCTTTGACACGCCTTCACCTGACGATATTGTTCGGGCCAATCAGAAAAAAGCTTTCACCAGGCAGAACACAGGACATAAAAAGAACCTAAATTCACTTGCATCCAGGGGGTTGGTGCTAAATTGACTCACTTGGGACCTCAGAGCTTTTGTTGGTCTTGTGCTCCATTATCTGAACCAAACTCAAAGTGATGTAGTTCTCAGGATCATCAGTCATCATGACTCTTTTTAACTGTGTCCCACAGTCAGTCATATGGATTAAAGAAATTTTTGGGACCAACAGTTACTCAATAGACTATAAAAAAAAACTCGGCTACAAACAGTATTATAGCATTTATTCATTTAATTTTTTTTATTGCAGCAAATAACCAATATTGTGTTGGAACTCGGAGTTGCCCTGGCAGCTTGAAAATAATTGCAGCTAAAACTTTCAAATGATTTTAAGATTTTTTTTTTGTTTGAAAGACTTTCTCATCTACTATAGTTTTTCCTGTATTTTAAATTTGAGTGTTATATTTAATGTCTTTTTAATTTTTGTACAATAATACATTTGTTAAATTCTTTAAATCTAAATTAAAGCGTATCACTTAGCATGGTCTCTTTTCTAGCTTTGAGCTGTATGAGCTCTCAAAAGACAAAAAGAGGTTGATTTTGCTTGCAGGTGTGCTGCAGCTATTGGAATATGGATCAGTTAACCATTGTGCTGGTTTACTGCTGTCTGCATTTGAGATCATGGGGTTGACTTTTTGGTTTAGAGGACACCTGGAGATTTTCCCATGAGAGAGCGAGAACACACACACACACACACACAGACACACACAAGCACTCAGACACATACAAATGAACAGTTTTTATGTTGATAAAATGAGTTTAACGTCGATGAAAGTACAATAAAGTTAAGTACTGGATGAGTAAAAACTAATACCTTCAGACTTGATAAAGTTTTTTTTTTTCTTGCTTTGACAAACTTTTAATATTATGGTATGGATTTGGTTTACACTTCCAGTTAAAAGTTTTAGAACACCCCTATTTTTCCAGTTTTTATTATGACATTTAAACAAATAAAGTCCAAAACAAACAAACAAAAAAGTCAGCAAAACTAAAAATGTTTGTAAATTTAATATAAAAAACAGGCCTTATATAGGGATCAAGTAATAGGTTAACTTGCATCTTTTTCTACAGCAGTAGAAATAAACTAACCCTTGAAAACTGATGCAGCAGTTCCTACAGGTGTCTGAACTTTTGTTGATTACTTAAAACGACACATTCTGTCTGTACAAACAGCCTCTGAAGCGTTGGTTGGAACAACGTAATTAACAAAGGATGTCAGAGCTTTTCAGGGTTTCATCCTAAAGCAGGATAATGACACACAAAAACAACACCTCCAGGCTGTGTAGAAGAAAAGAACAAGGCAGCGGGCTTCAAATGACAGAATGGCAGCACACTGTCCAGACTTTCCAAATGAATAGTGAAAGCAAAGCAACACATTTGTGGAATCTTTTGCAGCAGTGCTGTCTGATCAATATTTGATTTCTGTTGTAGAAAGAATGCTACATCTGTGTTCAGCTGTTGAATTATACTAATAACAACTGGAAAAATGAAGGTGTTTTAAAACTTGGGACTGGTTGTGTACACTGGGAGTGTCATTACATGCTGCCAGAAGTTAATTTAACTATCCATCCATCCATCCATTTTCTTCCGCTTATCCGGGAGTGTTAATTTAACTAGTTTGAAATAAAGATGACAATCTCTGTATTGTGAATGCACCTCTCTCTGGCCGTGTCCTTCTGTTTGTGTGTGTGTGTGTGTGTGTGTGTGTGTGTGTGTGTGTGTGTGTGTGTGTGTGTGTGTGTGTGTGTGTGTGTGTGTGTGTGTGTGTGTGGGTATGCGTTTGTATGTCTGAATGATGGACTCCACATAATCACCTAAACCAGCACTCTGCTCCTGACTTTTTACAAACTGATATGTGTGACACCTGTTTTTTAAGAGTAAGCGTATATTTAACGACTTTTTGTTGGCATCAATATAATATTTACATTCATTATGTATGTGGTGCAGTGTATGCAGTTTCTTATATAGGCTAGGCAAAAGTCATTTCACATTTTTGTGAGTCATCAGTCTTGTTTTGAATGAAGAGTCTCACCCTTAAGAAATGAATGTTTAATACTTCAAACTGAAAGACTTGTTCAAGGTTTGATGGATAACAACATGTACTAAACAGCAACTGTAAGGAGACCCACCAGGACACAGACGTGTATATAGTTAGGAGGCAGGAGAAGGAGATGAGGGCTAGTGTCAACCTCTCATGGTGGTTTATTAATTTATCTGTACTGTCTCATTGTTGTCTTAATTGTGAGAATGCTCTTAGAGTGAAGGGGAAGGGTTTGGGCTAGATGAGTGTGTAAACTTTACACAGGTGCAGAATGCTGAGACAAGTGGACCCTGAGGGTGTCAAACAGACATGGTGAGCCTGAGGGAAGTGATGATCAAACATTTGAAGTCAAACAGGTTTATCAGTGTTCATGCATACGCGTAGTCCTGGGAGTACTGTGATCTTTGGAAAAAAAAGTGAGGCGTGTTAGGGATGTTTTGTGAGGGAATATCTAAACTGCAGTATTTTTTAGATTTCGACAAATCTTGAAATGAGCAACCCTATTAACAAGTAGGTTTGTCCGTCCACCGTTTTGTCCTTTTCTCTCAAGGCGAGCCAGTGTGGTTTTGAGCAGGAAGCTGCACTCTGGGAGAAAATGTCACCCCAAGCCCACATTGACTCGATCAGCCGATCATCTTGCTCTGTCTCTTTTTTACACCACCTACGTAGGAAAAT